TTTGCGGCGCCCCCCCCCCCCCCCCCCCCCCCCCCCCGTGACCCAAGCTCCCAGCCTCTCCTTTTTATTTTTTTTTTTCAGCGCCTCTTTGAGCGGAGGCCAGGCCGGGATGGAAGCAGGTATCTGGGATTTATTTATCTTCTATAATTGAAACTTTGTAGCCTTAAACGGAGCCCAGGGTGGGCCAGGGCAGGTGGGAAGCTTAGCTTCCTCTATTGCCGGGGGCAACCCAAGCCTCCTGCTCGCTCCAGCTCCGTGGCCGCCTCCATCTTAGTTGGGTTAATTTTTATACTCGCTCCTGATTGGCTGGTGGGCATGGCCTGTGGGTGTAGCAGAGTGGTGGAGTGATGGTTAATTAGCATCTTTCTCTTTTATTAGTGTAGATTGGTTGAATGGCCGACCGGTCAACTGGACACTTAGTATATTAGGCTTTTATTATATAGGATGGGTGACAGTAGTAAAATTAAGTTAATGTCTGCTTGAAATATTAAGCTTTAATTGGAACCTTCAGGAAATTAATTTTTCTGAGCTTATCTTTAAAAAAATTTTTTTTAAATTTGTATTGATTTCAGAGAGGAAGGGAGAGAGCAAGAGAGAAACATCAATGATGAGAGAGAATCATTAATCTGCTTTCTGCATGCCCCCTACTGGGGATTGAGCCCACACTGGCTGACTTTAGTACCATTTTTATCCACTAGGTGGAATTGGTATGGCCTGTATTGTACAGTTTTTATATTCAGTATGTATCCCTTAAGTAAGGAGGGATAAAAGTATTTTACCATGGATTGGCTTCTGTATAAGGAATCTAATTGGAAAGAAATGAATACTAATTGATAACTGGGGAAAAGAAGGATACTTGGTGTAGTGTTTATTATTTCTTCACTAGAGGCTCGGTACATGGATTCCTGCACTGGTGGGGGGCGTGGCCTGTGGGGATCAGTCTGCTGTGGGAGCGCTGCTCATCCTGGTCAGCCAAGCGGCACTCCCACTATAGGAGCACACTGACCACCAGGGGGCAGCTCCTAAATTGAGTGTCTGCTCCCTTGTGGTCAGTGCATGTCATAGCAACTGGTAGACCAGTGGTTCTGGTTGTTCTGCCGTTCGGTCACTGGGCTTTTATATATGGATAAATTATTTTAGCCTCTCTTGCCGAAGAAGAGATGTTACGAACTTTTGGGAGGTGGGGTTGTTTTATTATTGTTTCATTAATAATATGAGGTTTACCTTCAGAAAACTTACAATAAATGGATCTGCCCTTCCAGAAAATGATATACTTGAAATCTCTGTCTGGCTTCCTGACAGATTTTTATCTTGTTGATTTAAAATATTAATTTGAAAATAATGGAAGGTATATTGAGCCCTGATAAGTTGTTAACAGATAAGGAAAGAATGTTTCTGGTGTCTATGGTGGTTCTAAAATCTATTCACAAATTTTTTGACATGGTTCTCTCTAAAAGGTGGAGCCCCAATAAATTCAATAAAAAGGAAAAAAGCAAATAAACTATTTCAAACATAAAAATAAATTAATTAAAAGGTGGAGCTTCCGTGCCCTCCTTTTGAGTATGGGTTGAATTTAGTGACACCCTTCCAACAAATAGAATATGGAAGTGGAAGTGTGTCACTTCTGTTAATAAGAGGCATTGCTGCCTCCTTGCTCTGTCTGGGGTTGCTCATTGGGAAAGCCAGCTGCCATTCTGAGAGGGCACTTGGGCAGCACCGTGGGGCGTACCTAGGGGTGAGGACTGCCATGCTGTGGGATGAGCCATCTTGGACGCCGACCTTCCAACCCTGGTCTGTCAGGTGACTGATCCCTGCTGACACCTTAATGGCAACCTCAGGAGAGACCCTGAGCCAGAACCCCCAGATAAGCCTCCCAAATTTCTGATTCACAGAAACTGAGATAAGAAATGTTTGTATTTAAGCTGCTATGTTTGGAGTAATTTGTTATCACAGCAATAGATAACTAATTTGCTCTCTTTGGGAACAATTGGGTGCCTAGCATATATGAAGTTGGTACTTCAAGTATAGAACATAGCTTGCTTATTTGAAATTATGTAAAGCCAACATAACTACTATATTACACTTGTTTTCAGGGAATACTGGCCCTGAGATTCTCTTACCTTGAGGTTTGAGTCCATGGTATCTCAAAATAGAACCTCCCAAGGCATATTTAGTAAGCCTCAAATTTCACTTCCTAGGAATATTAGGATCAATTTTCTGGAAGCCTGATGGGACTTATCCAAAATGAAACCAGAGAATTTGAGAACATTCTGACCTTGAAAATTCAATGAGCTA